CCCCCCCCCCCCCCCCATTAAACCATCTTCACCATCTTACACCATATTGCCTCCAAAATAAAGTGCACATTATTTACAAAAGAATTTAAACTAGGTATTATAAAATTTACAAATGGATAAGATTAACGGTTAAATTATAATAGGCCAATAACTATCTAATCACAAACGGATCAAAGACCGAGTTTTGGACAGAGTATGAAATGTACATCGCGCATTTTAACTTAAAGTCATCGCTAAAGCTATCATTTCTTCTACTTAAAATTGAGTAATATAGTCCCCCAATAAGGTTCTGATAAAACTCTGATCATCCAAGGAATGTAAGTCCATACATGTTGTAACTGGAAGATGATCTTTTATCCAAGACAACCAGCTTTCTCTAACTTCATCTGTCTTTCTGCAATACAATATAGCATGATGAACAGCATTGTTATAAGGTCCCTGACATGCTGAACAAATTCCGTTGAACGTTCCAGGATTCCCAAATCTGTCCTTATTTACAGTCAAGAAGCCACACGGAAGTCGAATAATATGTATTTTCTGCTTTGACTGTCCATACTTCCACAGATCATACCAGATGCTCAAAGATATACAAGGTTGACTCCAGAGTCCAGAGATAGAATTCAAGTTCTTTTTTCTTTTCAATTTTATCTACCCATTCACAATGATCACTTTCGTACACTGCTTTTTTGACAATTTTCTTCCAAATAATTTTTGCTGGGAATTTGTCATTTCTTAAAAATTCAGTAACATAACCGAGTAAATTTACATCAACCAACAACTTCATAATATCAGAGATAAACCCTGACATGGTGGAATTGCTCTGACTCCATCTCCATTTAATAAGTTTTCGGATAAACAACTTTCTATACGCCAACGAAGAGCTTGAGTTAATGATTCTGCCCAATAAAGACAGTTTCCGTGTGCCAATTTCAGTCTTTATGCTGTGTAAACCCAGTAAAACCCCTGGTAGCCGATCCTAAGGAACCCGGTTTCAGACACTGAGTAATTTTACGAAACACGTTCTGAATCAGGACACTTTCCAGTTCTTTGATGTGTTGGTGTTTCAGGTACCACAGCTCGCGGCCGTATAGTTTATGTGGAAGAGCCACAGATTCCCACAAATGGGCGGCTATTTTTGGATTCACTCCACCAGCTTTGCATCCAAGCTTTGCTAGCTTAGATATTACATCAAAAAGTTTGCTCGCTGTTGCACGGATCAGCATCAGATTCCCTTAAAGGAGAATCACCCAATGACCATGTTCTCTCTGAACCAATGCTGGATTTGATTTTTTATCCGAATATACCATTATTACCGTCTTGTTAATATTCAATTCAATCCGCCACTTAGTCGCATAGTTGTGAAGACAACACAGAACCGATGTTACCGATCTAAGGCTTTTTTCACTCCTGATAACAAGGTCAACTCATCAGCGAACATTGGTGATCCAGAATGTTTATTGTATAAAAATAAACTCCAACCGGTGTTTTCTAATTCATATATTATAATAAGTCGTTAATATATACTAAGAAAAGCCTGGGGGATAGAATACCCCACAGCGGTGTTCTTTGTCTCAGATTATAAATCCTTGAATAAGCAACATTTATGTGGACGAGCTCGCTCATATTCGTGTACCAACTTCTGATGATCCTCCAACATTTACCTTTTATTCCAGCTTTATGAAACAGTTTATACAGCATCGCATCAATCCAACGCTTTTCGAATATCCACGCATACACGCATACACGCAATCTCCCTCATCGCAACAGCTTTTAATAGATTCATCGATCATAAAAGCTGTAGTTAATGAGTCTTGTTCTTTTCGGTTAGTTCCCTGGAGACTATGGACTTGTGTTGGAGGAAACGATTGTATTCTGTTCAGAATGATTCTTTGTGATATTTTGTCGAAGGCAGGGAGAAGTCTTATGCCTCTATGGTCATCAAAACCACTGTTCTTACCGTTGTGACTCGTTGGTATTGGTATTTTTATTGCAATTTTAAAATAGTCTGGGATCTCTTCATCCGTAATTATCATATTAAATACTGACAACATTTTACTTAGCAGAGTATCGCCACCAATCTTAACGTGTTCATAACACACTCCATCTAACCAGGAGCTTTTCCATTTGTTAAATTTTTAACTACTTCCTAAATTAAATTAAGCTCTTCCATTGAGATTGGTCTATCTATATACACTTCATGTTCGTTGTCACGCCCAGAAATGAATATTACTTCTCTCCTAACATCATTTCCGTCATAAAGTTCAGGAGTGTGAAGGTTTTCAAAATAATTGGCCCATTTTTCAGCAATGTCCTTTGGATTATCATAAATTTCATTGTTAACTTCAAGAATCGGAGCGTTTTTCTAGCCTCCTCCGCAGCCATCTCACTGAGGAATCGGGTGGTGAGAAAATGTTTGGTGAAATGCCTGCCATAAATCGACACAAAAATTTGCACTGCGCATACTGGCTCGCACATGCAAATTTCGACAAACTCAAACTTAGGGGGAGTAGGAAGGGCTTGCGGCAAGGAGTGAAGAAATTTTTGTTTTCAACACGATGGCTTAAAAAACGAGTAAAACTGTAAAATTAACGAATAATCCTGCTTTTTAACATTGTATATACACAGGGAACTTTGAATAAGGAGCTGATAACGTTATCGTCACCCAAAACGGCGATTTAATGGGATTATTTAGAGACAACGAGTGATTTTTCAGAGCAGTCAAATATTCACGTTGCCGTCGATTCATGTCAAGACAGGGTTTTAAGTGAAAGTTTATCGTTGATATATACATATTTCTACTCAAACTGTCGACTACATTTTATCACTGTGATTTGATATGATAATAAGCAGAAAGTGCAGTGATTTAGTCGAAACAATAACACGAAAAGGAACGAGCGAAAATTGTCAATATATACTCAACTGTTGACATATCTGTGACTGTGGTAAGATACAGGCCTACTCTGGGGCGGTAAATCGCCTTAAATCGCTGCGATATAATGCGATTTTGGGCGATTTTAGGCGAGTTAAGGAAAAACTGGGACTTTCAAGCACTGCGATTTAGTGCAATTTTAGGCGATTTAAGAAAAACATTTTAATTTTAGGGATTGCAATTTAGGTGTTTTCAAAGGAATTGAATTCTATATTTTGCTCCGGTTTCCTCCCACAGGGCAAAATTGGCAGGGTGGGTTAGGATAAACACAGTTAGGAAAGTAATATCATATCCTCATTGTTGTAAAGATAAATAGTCTAGGCTAACATAAGTAATCATAGTACTTGATGTAATCGATCACTGAAAAGCCCCAATGTAGGGAGTGAGCTGAATAATAATGTAATGTTTCCACACACATATGCATTGTATGAAGCAAAATACAATTATTAGAACATGTATGTACATTTTATATAAAGCTAGGTTAACTATTGTATTTAACCTGATCCACATACAAAGCTCAATATTCATGAACTTTTCACCCATTCTCTATTTAGAAGCCATTGGGGTTCATCTTGGGGGTCGTAGCAGGGTGTTAGCTAGCCCATATGCTGTCCGTTTGACAGACTCTTCCCAATTGAGGGCTTTCCCAACTGGGTCTACTGGAAAATTAGCATGTGTCCCCCAAAATTTTAACGGTCGGGCAAAAACCAATGCGAAATTGGTCGAAATTGGGGAAATTTTTAAATTTCAATATTCTGTGAAAAATTTTTCGGATTTGGCGGAAATTACAAAATCTTTCTTTGATATCTCCTGAAAAATTTTTTTGGTGACCCCCCCCTCCCCCCCCTCGCCGAAGAATTTTGGGAAAAATATTCAGCTAAATCCAGTTAAAACTTTCCCAATTTACGTTTAACGGACAAAATTTTTTTCTGGCTAACACCCTGCAGCATAGCTACATTTATATACACCACAAATATTGTAAACAGTTAATATACTCTACTTAAGGGGCATGCACTACACATATCGAGTTAAAATTGCAAAATATAATAAATATTTGATTTCCAAAAAAATCACAAGGGGTAGGGGGTAGAAACACACAATGTATTTGTACAGTATAACTGAATAGGCTATAATCCCATAATTTACCTTGTCACCCTTGTAAGTGAAATTGTCTTGTTTTGTATCATGTCAAAACTTCTTTATTTAGCTTGCATTTTATTTAAACTGTTTCAATCTCGTGCTTTCTTCATGCTACAAACATATTTATAATTTTTTTGATATCTACATCATATATTCATATGATATCCCAGTGCCATATCCAGAAACACTCTGAAACAGTATCGTCACGCATTCGGAAACTGTCGGCGTAATGCCGTAATGTTTAAATTACATGAAGTATTTCGTATATAAATGGTAGGAATTCTAAATTATTTCAAAACTAAACTCAAAATAGTACAGCGTTAATTGTTAAACAAATGGCGCACTACATCGTGGTTTTAGGCTCTGCAAACAAACAACACCAAAAGATCTATTGTATCGTATGTAAGATGTAATCATTGTTTTACTGTTTATTGTATATTCAGGTCTGGAAAATTTAATAGACGAGAGTTGCAAATCGCTCATAACCTCACGTATATTTTTCGTTTGATAGCCACTATAATTATAACTAGGAGCTAGAGTATAACCATGCACATGTCGAAGTACAACCATTGTATACAATAGTTGTTCTAATTAAAGCCTGGTTCACATATGTCTGCGATGTGTCGGCGGGCTATTGTCTTAGCAATTCAACCAAATAATTCACAAAAGAATGCATCAACAGCTGTAACAATGACGTCACAGGCATATCGCAGACATATGAACCAGGCTTAACAGCAATGTAGCTATATTATAGATTAATTTGTAGCCCAGCCTCCATAGTCCATATAAATTGTAGCCCAGCCTCCATTTACACCAATAATGAAATTAGCTCATTCTGGTATTAAACTAGCCGGCTCAATTTTGTTGCTTGCGTGTATCGGATCTATGGGTCTTTCAGATCCCAGAATTACCTAATTATTGTAAAGTCTGCATAAAGCAGAAAGGGCTCTGTTTTTGTCAATGACCGGTGCCTATTGAGTGACCAAATATTGTCAGCCTAATCCACTTATTTGATTGCTAATTCATGTTGCATTACTTTCATTGCAAAGCACCTGGATTACATGATTTGCCCGTAAAATAGCAGCAATTGATAAACTTCAGTATATGGACTGAATGTATCAAGCAGAATGCATGTTGGCGATTTTAAGCGATCTTAGGCGATTTTAGGCGATTTAGGAGAAATTCGACAATTTTAACCCGCGATTTAGTGCGATTTTAGGCGATTTAGGGCGATTTAAGGCGATTTACCACCCCAGAGTAGGCCTAATGTACTATTTATACTACTTGTCTTGTAACATTGTTTTAATACGCTTGTATGGAAGGAAAATCGTTAATAAAAGTTTTCTTATTGGGGAATACACTGTTCAATTTATCGCTTGGCCTTGGACAAAGACAACGTTTTCAAACTTGAGTGTCTCAGATGTGGCAAAAAATTATTAAATAGCAAACGCTTTCTTATTAATTAAATCAATAGCCCTGTTTTAACTTTTAATATATGGGTGTGAGGTGCCTAGACATAAGGGAAAAGACAACTGGAATTTAATAGGAATCTAATACAGTAATAGATTTCCAAGTGACGGTTTATGTGGTGCAACACCACCCTGGTAATAGTCTTCCAATGGTGGCTATATATTAACTGTAAGCTGTGACAAGTTTACAACAATGAATACATTTGGTAAGTTTTAGATTAACTCATTGTCTGCACTCTCCCACTGAAGAGTAAAATTGTCTGATGTTAGACAGAGTAAAAGCAGGCACGCCCCTGCCAGGGATGAGACAAAGAGGACCTGTTGTGTGTATAGGGGCATTATTGGGTCTTACGTGATATACATGCCAATCAAGAGTTACTATATTTTAAAGCAATATATGTCAAGAGCAATTTTATTTGAGCATGAACAAGGAAGATACATATAATTAGAGAATAAGCCAGTGCCATAGCAAGCTCGATAATTGGGGGGGGCGCTCATATTTATATATTCGTGTTCACAGACCATAAAAACAATCGATTTCAAAAGAAATTAATAACGCAGAACACAAGTATATGAATATGAGCCCCTCCGCCCAATTATCGAGCTTGCTATGGCACTATATGCAGACACACAAATTCCTGTATTTATCAAATCATGGATGTCGGTAAGTGTAACATAAGTAGGCATATACAGTACTATATTAGAAAGAGGTTGTCAAATGCCAACTGCTTTTCACCACAGGGTTGGTAGGTTAGATGAATAATTAGGCCAAATCGTCATTAGTGCCGTTTAGAAAACAAAAGGCCTAGTGTGACTGTGTTTGGCCTAATTATTCAGCAAACCTACCAACCCTGTTTCACCAGGTTTAGCATATTTACATGATATTAAAGCCATTAAAGGGGTGAGGGGAGTTCAATTTAACTATTCACTTGAGTGAAGCCTAGTTCACAAATACTGTGGTATGTTGGCAGGTTACCAGTTCAACCAAATAATTCACAAAAGAATGTATGCATCAATCTCAGGCATATTAAATAATAATATTAATATGGTAGGCATATGTTATGCAGGCTTTATAAGATGCCAACAAAATTCTACAGTTAGTTTATATTTCCAAGTTGCAGTCACTTATTGAAATGGTTGATTCAACAGAAAGATCTTTTCCTTTTATACATCATTTCACTGAGCATGTTGCCAAATGCCTGATGATTTGACTAATATTGAAAAAGTATAGTAAAATATAAATCAAAATGGCAACACAAATATTATTCCAGAAAACAATACAATTTAATATAATCCCTTTATTAAACAAATTATACCTTTCTTATCGTTCCATTCTTCGTTTTGCGTTCGAAATTATGCCAGATAATTTCCTCAAATTCAGAAATTGTAATTCCTCGGCTGAACAATTTATAATTAAATGTCCATTAATTAAAGGGGTGAGGGGAGTTCAATTTAACTATTCACCTGAGTGAAGCCTAGTTCACAAATACTGTGG